GGTATGAAAAAAGGCCGCTGATTGGTTGCATGCAATCGGTTACGTGAATAATGGTTCACGATGTAGGTGCAATGGATGGTTCCCGGGAATAGATAAAGTTCGTTCTGGGAAAAAAATGAGCGAAGCCACGTTTGCGGGGGCTGTTCTCCCTGGAAGTGACCTCGTTGAATCCGAGCTCGCTGCTTTAAGTGCTCGTTGAATCCGGGTTAATTTTATAGATTTTAAAGAAGAACCCCCCCCCCCCCCCCGGGAATCTATCTCATCTCGATGAATCCTACCCACGAACTGGGGTTTTTGGCACCAACTTTCTCCTTAAACTACATCAGAAGAGCTTGGTCCACAGCATCTGCATCGGGTAGTCTCATCTTCTTTCGATCCAGAGTAAACTTTCCATTGGACGAGTATGCTGCCACTATCTTCTCTCTATCCTTGATAATGGTGTGAATCGACCCTTGTGGAATGTCGAACTGACACTGACGACATCTCTGCCAGTGGAGCTTGTTTTTTGTCAACAGCCTGGATTATTTTAAAAAAATTTTTTGGGTGGTCAATTGAAAGGCATTTTCTCTTGCACTTGGCATCGTTGGTGACAGTAGACACATTACGCGTGCGTGTTGCTAGCTTTCGAGCTAGATCGAGGTTTGCAGCACATTGCAGCCCTCTCTCGCTTCACAAGTTGCGTGTGCTTGCAGTGGCATGGCTTGCATGGGCTTGCTCCATTACTGCGTTACTCTCTCTCTCTCTTATTTTTTACACATTGTTAACGAGCCTCTGTCCCCTGCTATAACCGGTTGGGCTCCGATGGGGCCCTGTTATTGCCGATAACTTCTAATAGAGACAAAGAGTAGGAAAAATCGGGGATTTAAAAAATCCCTGTTATCACCGGGCCTGTTATATATGGTTTCCACTGTACATTTTAAAAATTAGAACAGCACTTCTAACCTCTTATTTATCAAATAAAATATTTACCAACACATCTGCAAACACATACAAAATTAAACAAACAAGCAAATAGTAAAAAACATTTATTTATGACACCTTCACAAGAACAAAAACATCAAATCCTTTCAAACATGCACTACATAGTCAAATCTACATCTAATTAAACCCCCTCATCACACCCAGACCCAGCCCCCTTCCATCACACACAATGTTCATAGAACTTGTAAACGGGGGCGTGCGGGGGGCCAGTGGATACCACGTGGGTGCAGACCATTTTAAAAAGAAATTTAGGCGTTTTTATGCCCCCACTGACACAATTTAGAACATTTAAGAGACAGGCCTCCCGCCCTGCCTGTCAGGACCAAAACAGGCTGAGAAAGATCAGATGCAATATGTGGGTGCAGACAGACCGAGACACTCAGTAAAAATTCTACCCAAATCCAGATTCGAAGTTGAGTCTTCTGCATATGACAGTAAAACATTTAACAGCTTCACCAAAGATGCTAGTGTAAACCAGTTAATGAAACCTGTTGTCAACTTATTTCAGTGTGTCCTATGTCCAACTGAAAATCAAAGAGAAATATCACACAAGTTACACAATTATATCAGGCCGATGCAGGTGGTGGGTGTCCACTTCCACACGCTGAGAGCCCTCCTCAAGACTTGTGCTACAAGCTTTAAATTGATTTCACTTAAGGCCATGTTCTGAAAACAAACTCCCTACCAAGGCAAAGAGCACAACTCAGTACAAAACGAAAAATAAAATATTAAAAAAAACTTGTTTACAAAAGCAACAAGACATGAGAAACAATACCAAATAAACTGCAAAACACAGATTATAGATTGGCAATCTAATTCAAACAGCATTCAATGATTCCAGGCCTATCCCAACTTTCTGGTAGGTCAAAGATGGTCCACGATTATTCAAGTTCTTCGCGGTCTCACTCAACAACTAAACAGACCTACAGACCTAAATCCTAATCCATTTTCCACTTCTCCATCAGCCAAGACTTAAGCTCCTCATTGCAACATCTCCATTGTTATGACAACTATGTAAGGCCCATTCTTAACACCCCCCCCCCCCCCCCCCCCCCCCCTCAATGGAAAAAATTAATTTAAATTAAAAAAATAATAATCTGATTTGAATTTTAAAGTAGCATGCCTGTCATGGCCTATCCAGGCCGAAAGGAATACAACATCCCAGCAGAAAGACCAAGATACTTGACAGAAAATTTGCCCGGCCCGAGAATCGAACGTGTGTCTTTCACACGACAGTGATGCACTAAACAGCTACATCGATATTAGTGTTTACACTAAGTCAGAGTACATTCAATGCAAGTTCCACTATATCAGATGTTTTTGACCCTAAGATGAATTTCAAATGCATCATCTACAGTAATGGACAAGATTCTATTTATTTTGATTTATAATATGTAAAAATGATAAGCAATTAAACCAAGAAAAGGACATTTATGCCAATTAAGGCCAATCCAATACTAACAGAATTTTGGAGAAGAAAATCTTCAAAATTATTAAAATTTTCTTCTCATCAATAAAAATTGCTAATTGACAACTTGAAAATAATTGTCATGGGTTGTGAAGTGTTCACAAAAACCAGTATGATGCAAAATTGTCCAAATATGACCACAACAAGTGAATATATGGCAGATTTTGTTATTTTCTGGTCACGCCTGTACAGTGTCTCCATGACAAAGCACCAACATGCGCACTTACTGAACAACAAGACTTCCGTTTGGTGACACAGCACCAACATGAGCGCCGACAGAACAACAAGACTTCTGTTTAACTCAATGGACCTTTTTGGTGTCCATGTAGACATTTAAAAGTGGCTTTGAGCTCTATTGAAAGTTAAATTTGGTTCACGGGCAGATGCTGTATTACATCCCTCAACCGTACACATAGAATTATATTTAAAAAACCCTTCTTGATTTTTTAACGGGAGATGTACACTCCAAGAAAGATTTTCTACACGAATGACTTTTATTCACTTTCATGTAATTGTGAAAGAAGTTCATAGGTAAATAGGATATACTAAGGGTGAATTTGTTGATTTTTACAGAAAAATGGGTCTCTGTGGCAGCCATCTTGGATTTTCAAACCAGTTTCTTAGTGCAGAAGAATTTCATATTTATCAGCCTGAAATTTGGCACACAAGTACAAACCTATGTGGCCTGGGATCCATGTGAGGAATTTGACCTATCTTTAAAACTAAAAAAGTGAGCCCAAAGTCGATGGACCCCTGAGAGTCAGTTAACAAAATTTTGGGGTACATGTTACAAAAAATTTGAATATTTCCACAAATTACCAATATTTCCCAATTCCCTCACACAGATCCCTAGAATAGATCTTACAGCACATGTACGCCAAATTTGAAGCTTCTAGCTTCAATAATTTTTTAAACTCCTTGCACCAAAAAGGTCACATATGGCAAAAAGTAGATTTTTTAGAGAAAAAAAAGAAAACCCCCCCCCCTGGATTTTTTAAAAGGATGTTTAGAGCAATTTGTAAGTTTTAAATGCCCTTTAGGTCATTCAGGGTGTTTTTTTTTCTCGACAGTTTCATCATTGTGACCAGATAGAACAGATGTCAAAGGATGTTTTTCCGCTAAAAACAAGTTGAAAAATTTTAACGATATTGTCTGGGATCACCAACCCGCGTCTTCCCTTAAACCAGTTTTTTAAAGATGTACTTGAAAGCATATTTATGCAAATATTCAAACAAAGTAATTTGTGTATTACTTTTTAAGATATGCATTGAGGCATAGTTAAGGTCATTTAAATGAATTTTGTTTTTAACAAAATCAAAATTTCATGTAAGAACTGCCTAGAAAATGAGTTTTCCCAGAAAATTTTGAGATAACCTTGTTGCCTTATCCTTTCATTGAGTGTTAGCGGTGAGGAGAAACAAAAAGAATGCCACGTGAATTAACTAAATATAACCATAAACAATAAACATATTGCAGATTTTGTCCTTTTGAGTTTTTCCTTGTGTGTGACTAGAAATCCTGTACCCAAAAGTTTTTTTTAGTGTTATCGTACAGAGTTGTTTAGTAGTTGTGTGCATTCCATGTAAAATTTCTAACGAATCGGTTCATAACACATTACACCCTAAGGGCCTGGACGGGAAGTCCATTGTTAGATCCTAAGCAAGGGGAAAGAACCCACCTCCCTTGAATACAAGCCTTTAAAAAACACATTTTAAAAATACTAAACAAATTCCAAAAATCCTGAAAAAATAAAAGTTAAAAAGAAAACTGAATGTAGTTTCAGAAAAATATAACTTTATGTATGCGCAAACTGTTGGAAATGTTCTCACTTTAGTTCAATCGGGGTGTCCGACCCGTCACTCTCACTCTCGCGGTCGGGCCCTAGATCTAAATTCTATTTCTCCGTCTGATCAATCGGAATCGCCCCAAACTCTTCCTACAACGTTTTCATCAAAATCTGAGCCATCTGATTTGTCACATGCTCGTTTTTGCTCAAATCCATCGTTATTTCCGTTTTCGAACTCAATTGTGTCGCTTTTCAACAAGTCGAGGCACTTTCGAAGTGTCGGTAACGCGATCGCACTTCGATCAGCTCTAATACTAAAACTACTAGCCGGAAAAATTTCGTTTCGGTATCAAACGAAAGAAGAAACTTTTTGCTATACTATGCAAATCAAAATCCCGGCCCCAGAGTCTCGTCAAGGCGAGACTTTCGTTTCTAAAGACGCTGGGTCGGCGCGGGCGGTTCCGGGCGAGTCAGGGTGGAGCGCGTAAGGGAATTCCCGGGCGAACCCGGGTGTAATGTGTTAACTTGAAAATCTATGCATTAGTTGCAGAGCTTTAGGCATTTGTGTTCTAAAGCTGAGTTTCAGTGACATAAAAACTGTTGAAAACACCCTCAAATTGGCCTAAAACTAAGTCGAAAACTATAAAAACCATTTAGCTAGAAAAAAATCAAAACAAAACATAACTGCTTAATACCCAGGAAACCAAGGGCTTTCAAATCAAAGAACTTTTAAAGCATATCAGAGAACTCAGAATTTTTCACTGACCTTCTTACTTGAAGGAAGTAAAAAATAACCCACAGAGCTGTTCAGTCTTTTTCAAGTTTGTATTTGTCTCCTACAAACACAATGTGATGCGAATAGGAACAAAAATAGAAAAACATTTTGATCAACAACACGGAACAAGCGACTGAGCGTTCATCGCCGCGACTTCTTCTTCTGTGGGGAGTGGCTCTTCCCACTGCTGCTGTCGCGGCCTCGCTTGTGTCCGTGCTTGCTACTGCTGCTGCTGCTCTTGTGGTGCGGCCGGTGTTTGTGGGAGCTCGTGTGCTCGGGGATTTCCTCGTCTTTCTCTTTGTCCGCTGTCAATGCAAAGTTTCAGGGTTTTTTTGGTAAGTTTTACAGGAAATTGCAACACAAGCACCGACGATTAGAGGTGTTACTAGAGAGTAACATACAAGATTAGATGTTACTAGAGAGGAACGTTAAAAAAAAAAAAATAAAAAAAAATAAAAAAAAAAAAAAAGGGAGGAGATATAGGGGCGAGAGATGTCGGATAGGAAAGAAGGAGCACCGGACAACCACTCAAGTCAATACCAAGGGGAAACTTATAAAGAATTGCACACTACACAAACTATACCCTTTTACTCTCATGGTGAACAGCAACATCATACTAAGGAATGTTTTGTAGTCACACAAGCCAATGCATCAAAATGCCTCCACCACACACCCACAAAATATGCTACATTATAAAAGAAACCTCTCAAGTCTGTACGAGGTCTTTAGAAAAACATTGAAACAGTGCATTTTAAAATCAACTCTTCTCTTTGAGCAATTTTTTAAAAACCTTAACAAACTGGCTATTTTTTTCAGAGATGATAATGTGCATCAAAGCACTTTCAACACAGCGCATAATCCTATAATCAAGAGGCAGACTTAAATATATATAGAGGAAAGCACCATTCCCAGTGACACTGGGGATAGGCCCCGAAACCACTGGCTATAGGCCTAGGCCAGAATTGTTGCCAGTGACACCGAAAACAGACGTACAGGCCCATTAGATCTATTGTTCCCACACCAATCTACATGGCCATGATGATGATGGGTTACTTAATACTAGACTAGATTCTTTATCTAATGTAGATCTAGATCTAGATTCTAGATCTAACTAAACTAAAGTAGATTATGGTGTGAGTGGAAGATTTTTTTTTCAAAGAAAGGAATGATCATTCTATGTTTGCTTGTTATTCAGTCGTAATTTAGATCTAGATGTACAAGTAGATCTAGATTTAGCCTAATACTAATACCGATTTTGGAGACCACGGTACAGGACAGGGAAAACCTTTCCAATTCTTCTTTCTTCTAGATCTAGAATCTACATCAAGGCTACGGTCAAGTCTTGGCCCAAGTAAGAGAAGAGAACAAAAGTGAGAAGAGAGTCTACAGTACACGTTAGAATAGAATCTAAGCCTAGAATCTTGATCTTTTGAAAAGCTGCAAATTTCTCTTCAAACTCTTTGAAGGAGGAAAACTTCCTGCCCACTTCCATCTGCATCGCAATTTTGTTTCGAAGTTCAAAGTGAAAATTCAAAGGCTATTTTTTTAATGCAAAAGAGTTCCGTTGTCACTGGGAATAGTTACTTCGATATATAAATCCATATGTATAAGTTTGAGAGTAAAGAAGTGCACATCCACACAATATGATCATTTAGTGCAAGGGAAATAGTAAAACAGAAACAAAGAAAGAAGTAAAGTAAAAACTATCAGTGGCGCCCTCCAACCATCCGCATGTGCAAGAGAAATCAAAGCATGCCAAAACTGAATTTTGGGCAATGATTGTATCCAACTTCTTACCTCTGCGAGCTTCCTCTTCCAGCTCATCCCAGTCTTTACCACTCTCCTCGCTTGATCCCAATTCTTCCGACCCTGGGAACAACAAGGAAAAATTTATATGTTCGCAACATCAAAGCAACACTCGGAAAATATGCATACAGCAAAACAATACTTGGTCGAGGTGCTAAATGTGTAAAAAAGAAAGGAAATTCTGATTACCCCCGTAAAAACAGTCAACAGTATCATTCTACAAACCATTTGGCTACTTCTCCACTGGGACAGACACAGCCCGATTTTTTGCCGGGGGAAAAAATAAATGGTTGGGTCGTTTCCATCTTGTGTGTCCCACACAGTTAGGAAAAGACACATCTAGTCTGTTGGCTTACTTATTCCCTGAATGTGTAAACAATACCAGACAGGCTGTGTTCTCGGTACGAGTCAAGAGGTCACATGAACTGTATGGGTTTTAAGGGGGGGTGGCTAATGAAAATGCCAAAACTCAGTTCCAACCATTTTGTTGCCACTTTGTATGCATCAATGGATACATACACTTTAAAAAAAAGTTTTTTTGTGAAATAAAATTTACATTAAAAAAATAATTTTGGGCTCGTGACGGCAAAAAATGGCGCTGACTCAGCAAAATTTCTTTATATTTTATAAAAAGTGTTTCTACAAAAACAATAAAGATAGAAGCTTCATACTCTTGGTATATTTGTTACAGACCTGCCACTCTATGAAACCTCAAAATCAGGATATCAGGGAGAAAAAATCGGGATTTGGTGAAAAAAATCAGGATCAACAGCAAATCACAAAGGTGACTGCCAAAGCTGACTTAATATTTTTCCAGGGGTGTCCATAAATTACTTGGCCTATATGCACTCTGAGTGTCTTTGTTTGTTTGCGTGCGCGCACACGTGTGTGTGTGTGTGTGTGTGTGCGCGTGCGCGCGTTATTATTTTTTGTAAATCCTGAAGCATCACTTCAAGCACTCCTAGTCCAAGTGTCTATACCCACCCCACCAATAAGTCCCGAAATACATGAACATAAGTTGACACCATCAACAGACGGTCCCCGACACGCAGAACTCACACGGCGATGATATGTCAAGAGACGCGAATGCGCGATTAAAACAATTTTACTAACATTCCGACTAACTGTGCGTTCACACAAAACACTCGGATGAGCGACAGTCGTTCTACTTCTAGATCTAGTACTCTAGGATAACGACGGCGGCCGACCGACCAATTGTACCAACAAATCTCTTATCCCTCATAATGCGTTCAGACTAAACAACGACAACGGCCGTATGTTAGTCTTGTCAGCGCAGTTACATATAGATTCTAGTTGTGTGAGGGTTAGAGAAAGACAGTCGCTAGTCCGAGTGTTTGGTGTGAACACGCAGTTACCAGACCGCGGACAAGGCTTGTTTTGAAAGTAACAGCGGAACTACGAATATTATCGATTATTTGTATGTCCCAAATTGTAACAATTACCAGGCTATCATCGGAGAATTCTTAGTGCGGGCAAAGATCACACACAACTTGGAGCGAGTCAACTACTAAATGCGGCATCGATATTTCGGGAAATAGTGCTAGAGTTCCTGCTTCCAAAAAGTTGAACGGGTGCTTCCCGCGATAAAGGAGAAGGCAGAGTAAGTTTTTAGAAAAATACGGCAGAACAGCAGACTGGGACAAAAAAATCGGGATACACACGATCGAAATCGGGATGCTTGAGATTTGGGGCAAAAAATCGGGATATCCCGACTAAATCGGGATATCCCGACTAAATCGGGATGAGTGGCAGGTCTGTTGTTATATATTGCTTGTTTCTCCTCCTTACAGAATCAGATTTCAGATATCTATCATACATTTTCAAAATTTCACCCTCACTTTGACCAATGTTCAGAATTCCATATTAGGTGATGCTGCCACGCAAAAATGCCAAATAACTCAAAACAGAATCAATACTCAGGAAAAGTGCTTTTGTAAGGAGGAAGGCACTTATCTTGGGAATAACGTGTGAAAATTTCAATGAAATCTGACTGTTAGTTATTGAGATACACTTTCTATAAAGTTACCAGTTAGCCGAAAATGCAATTTAGAGAAAAACGCAAACAAAGCTTTCGATACATTGTGCAATCACAACCATCTTGGTTTTCACTAAAAACCAACATTATTCAGCAATATACACCATGTTTACATCATACTATATAAAGCACAGGCTATTTAGAAAGATTTTTTGACAAGCTTTTACATCAATTCCATGCACCCCCCCCCCATCACAATTGAATCTCGGCCCCAAGAATGTACTCTCATTTGTCTTTCAGTTTCTGTTCTAAAATGGGAGAAGAAGCTAAAATATCTATGTAAGGTAGTAGGTATACATTCAAGGGCTTGTGTGAAAATTTCAACCAATTCTGAGGTCTATCTAGTGTAGCAGATTTGTCAGAAAAGTCATTCCGAAAAAAAAAACCCACACGCAAATAAAGATTTTGGATGCTGACATGCACGTCTAAATATGTTAATGTTGCCATACTGAATTGTTTAGGTAAATTGAGTTTGTTGTTAGTCTTTTCCACATAAAGAAATCTTTAAATGATTTGGCAGGTAACTGCCTTTCTTAGAATTAGAAGAGTCGAGACTTTGTCGAGCCAAACAAAAACAAACTGCTACCTCCTCTTCATTTTCTTCCCATGTGTTTTGGTTTTGCAATGGTGGAATCTAAGACTATGCAACCAAAAAAGGCACACTGTAAGCTGGCACTACATTATACTATCTAGATCTGTATATTTTCTCAATTTATTTCATTCTGCTATATTCTGCACAGTCGCTTCTTTCAATCTTGCTTGAAGGGGTTAACCGGCTTTAGGAACACCGGCCTCCGTAAAAAAAAAAAACAACAATAGAAAAATAAAGTTAAAAAATTTATTTAAAAAATAACACTAGATCAAAATCTAGGCTCTAGAAAATCTAGAGATGTCTATTGCTAAATCTAGATCTGCGCTAAACAGTACAGACTTGATGTTCACTGCGAACAACCGGAGAGGCTAGGGAAGCCATCAAAACAAATCTTAGATTCTATAACTTTGTTGATCGAGGGCAACGGAGATCTGTAGATCTATATTTTGAATACCCAAGCCATATAATCGTGGAAAGTACTGAAGGCTATTATGTATTACTGGTATAATCTCAACAGTTTAGATCCTGGATTAGATCTAGATCTAGCTCAAAATGGCTAAGACTAAGACATCGAATTGAATCCCGATCACGTGATAGACAGACGAGAGGAGACGAATAAGAAGGAGCGTGTGTTTGGTAGGCCTTGTCGGGCCGAAATACTACACAAAATTGCAAATGGAGATGAAAACAATAATTATTCAGCCTATAAACAAGATTTATTAGCGTTGAAATCGGCAACACGATAGAAAACTCTTTGAAATGCAGCGAAAACGTTCACGTTCTGTCTTGCGGCACACAGTGTAAACAACGGCCTGCGAGGGGAATCTCCTTCATTGCTACCGGCTCGGCGAATGAAAATTCACGGCCTGGTCACGTGACAGAAGTGGCCAACCGGTATTTGGTACGGGGTCTTCAAACATAGCTAAATGGGTCCCCAGAGTAGTTCCATACGAAAACGAAAGTGCAATAATCGAATAGTTCTTATCACGGCCTTTCCAACGATATCAAACTTGATTACCTTGCAGCCACGGAAAGTGTTGTTGTCAAGGGGTAAAGTTTAGCATTTCTTGACGTAATGTTTGAATTTTTTTGCCCCCCCCCCCCTCAAATACATTTTTATGTATGTTAGAGGTCTCCTTAGGTCTTGGGACCTTCACAAACGGATTCTTGGCATATTATTCTGTAAGAATATCCAAATACTCGAAGTTCCATTTTAAAAAAAATAGCAAATACCTGATTTTCTACGGGATCGAGACCCCGTAAAATTGCTAATATGCATTTAAACCGCGCAGTTTAAAGATAAGATAAGATACATCTTTATTGTCCAGATCCTGGCACATTGGTTTGGTGTTCCACCACGAGTACACACACACACACACACAAACACACGTACACACACAAGTAGGCTTACAATCACATACATAATATAAATGAGCAGCAATATAAACAATAATAATCGTAAGCTAGATACACACTCAATGTTATTCTGATGCATGCTCTAAGGTCGTAAGTACACTAAACAAGATAGATGGTTAAGATGGAAGCATTTTGATAGATGATGGTAAAAATGACCTTCTGTATCTTTCTTTGTTACAGATCAGAAGCATGGGTCTTTTACTTCTGACTGATGTTTTTATTTGAGGGAACAAGGGATGTTTGTTGTCTAAAAAGATGGAATTAATTTTCTTAGTGCAAGCTGTTATGTACAATTCAGTTTGCGCTTAGACAGTTAATTTTGAGGCGCTGATTACGAATATGACATTAGATTTTTAATCAGAACTCAAAATTAGAATTTTTCTTTAGCTCCGACGGGCTTAAGGCTGACGAGTCACCACCCGGCCCAGCTAAAATGCGACAAGCGGCTTTCCAATCGACACGTTTTTTGTCGGGGCGTTGTACCCTGTCTGTTGACACAGCCAAACGGAATATTTACTGATTTCTTATGGGGGAGGGATAAAAGGTGCTCCATTTCATCTACCGGATTTCCAAGAGACGGGCGGAATCGGGTCAGTTGGTGTCTGTTCCAGTGGACACGCACCCTTAGCAAAAAATTAAAAGGCATCCTAGTATAAATGAAGGTGAATGAACCCATGTGGCACACAGAATATATTGAGAGAAGCATTTGGTTTGTCTTGAAAAAATTATTATACATTTGAGAAACGTAGGAATAAAAGAGACAACATCTTTCAGTAGGGAGGAAATGATTAGATAGCAAAAGTCTCATAGATGGAACATATACAGCTGGCACAAATACAATTATGCACACACACACACACATATATATATATATGTATATATATATGTATATATATATATATATATATACACACACACACAGAGAATTTTGTTAAAACTCTGGGATTATTTTCTTCTTACCTGATTCTTCATCATCCTCTTCCTCCCAGTTGCTTTCCTCACTGTCGTCTTCGCTACTTTCTTCAAGATCTGTGCCGCCCTCCGAGGGTTGGAAATTTTCATCACCCTCTTCGCTCTCATCGTTTTCTTCTTCGGCCTGAAAACATCACGGACTGGTTACTTCACAGGGTCATCTAGCCACAGATTTGACAACTTGCCAAACCAATTATGCTTAGTATAGATTTAATAAGAGTAATTTCAATATATGACAAGATTTTATTTTAAAAAGAGAACTGCTAACTTTCATTCAAAGAATTGAAGAGCGCATCAAAAGTACTTTAACGGTAGTCTATATCAAGCCAGCATAATATTTTACTTTGGTTTAGTAAGAGTTTTACAGCATTGCAACACAATAAGGTCATGTAAGTGCAGAAGCTTAGTTTTTTAGTTTTAGTAGAGGTTTTAGGCGCTCGCGACTGCATAAGGTCATATGAGCGCCAGAAGATTAGAGGTGTTACAAGAGAGTAACAAACATAAAAAAGAAGGAGGGGAGATAAGGACGATAGATGTTGGATAGGAAAGAAGAAGCAAACCACACCAGAGCACCCGCCAACCACCCACAGAGATGTGACATGAACAAGAAACAAAACAAGTCCACCATAATTTAGTGAATTTTATTTCCTCCCTCATAACTAGTACAACAAACAACATACCTCACTCTCCGGACCAAGGAATGACCAGCCTCCGTTGTCAAAGAACCCTTCGGGGTCATCTGTGATGGTCTTCATGATCTTGGTCCAGTTCAGCGTCTGAACGCCCTCAGTGTAGCGGATGTCACAAGAACTGTTGAACAAAGCAGAAACCTTGTGCATGTGGACTTCCGTACATCACTTTACCACAAAACAAGTTTACTTCCACAACACCTAACGCAGTATCAGCACAGAAGTTTCCCTCATTTCTAAAACATTTCCCTTCAGATGATTTGTGAATCCTTTAATTCCCTCAGAAAAAAGACACCATTAACCTAAATAGCACCATGAGACAGATCAGCTAGCATAGAAGTGTGCCTTGTGCAAAAGTCATAGAGTCGAAGAGAGAAACTGCCCCTCGTTCAACACTTTTACTATTACATTTCACTTACTGCTTGAACAAATTGAGCTGGTTCCATTATAGAGCTCCACCCTTAAAATAATGAAAACACTCAAAACAAAAGACAGCATGACTCACTTCAACCATTCTTTAACATGGTCTAACATGTTCATTGCGACTGAATTGATCATGGCTGTCTTCTTGCTGTAGTCCTTGAAGATAAAGACGATGTCAAAATTCTTCAACTGGAAGGACACACGCTCAAAGTGGACCAACTCGATGTCTTCCAGGGACACCACAAAGGGAGGCTGAGGTTTGAACACACGACAGAAACAACACAGAGATTAGAATAAACAAGAACAAGAATAAATCAAAACAGACTGGAATAAGAAATTATCATTTTTTTTACCCCAACTGATAGGGCTCATCTGGCTGGGGGGAAAAAAAGTATACATACTACCAACCACATATATATGTTGAAACAAATCAAACTCAGGTCACCTATGTATGATGGCGATAAGATGGATAAATCTCACGTAGGGGTACGAGACAGGTCTGCATCACAAAGGCGGACACAACGTATTGGCGCTTTGCCCAGAGACAGCCTAAAGATTTCCTGAATAGAATCTTTAAAATAGGACTTCAACATCCCAGAAATAAATTGAGCTTAGAATATATATATTTCTTCCATGCCCAGACAAGAGCTCACATATACTTTACTCACCCACTCCGTCAAATTGACGAGACATCCACTCGTTGGTTGTAGCAAAACAGTGCTTCTGAACGGAGCGCCGTGGAAACCGAGCTCCCTGAATGGAGAATCGAACTCCACTTCTTGTTTGGTGATCCCCTCCACCTTCTCACAGAAACTTTTGAAGGCAGATTTCAGCTTCTGTCTCAGTTCTCGTTCCGCCTGGAGAGAAACACATAACACAAGATTTTAGTTTGAGTGCAACACAATAGGGTCAAATAAGTGCTGAAGATACAGAGGTGCTACAGAGTGTAACAAACACAAAAAAGGAAGTGAGATAAGGATGGTAGATGTTCGATAGGAAGAAGGAGCAAACCACGCCAGAGCACCGGACCACTACCTTCAAATAAATCAGAGAGAACTGAAAATATCTGCAGGGTACAAACATGTCAGCAATTCATGAGCACAAAATTTTAGTTTTAGTTTTAGTAGAGGTTTAACGGCGTTCGCAACTGCATAAGGTCATATGAGCGTCAGAAATTAGAGGTGTTACAAGAGAGTAACAAACATAAAAAAGAAGGGGAGATAAGGACAATAGATGTTTGATAGGAAAGAAGAAGCAAACCACACCAGAGCACCCGCCAACCACCCACACACAAAATTTCATGTTATGCAAAAAGAAGAAAGAAAGAAAACGCATGAGTGAACGCAAATCACAAGGGCTAACTAACTCTGTATGAGAAACAATACGGGCCAACTGAAGAACTGAGACAAATGTTGAGCTAAATGTCAAAATGGTTGCTATTCCAGAAATACTGAAATCAACACAACATATAATTAATATATTTATGTGTGTGTGTGTGTGTTTTACGGCGCTCGCAACTGCATAAGGAAATATGAGCGCTGGGAACACGAACATTTTTCAGCTGGTAGGAAATTTTGAATTTCGTCCGCTTGGCGGCCGAAGCCTACTTTTATAGATTTTAGACCACAAAGGGATCTTTAACTTGCACACGGGACCTCCGAGATTTTTTGCCCTTATCCGAGAAGGCTAGGTGTAGATCTTTCCTTCCAGAAGATCAGGGGTGTGGTTGAAAGACAGCAGTAAGGAGACAAGGAGTAGCAGTAGAAAGGCTGCAGAAAGAGTCAGGAGCCCAGAGGAGGGGGCAGAAAGTGGAGATGAAAGCAGACGACAGAACATTGCTAGAGAGCAGGAAAGGGGTGAAAGGAGTTTTTAGAGGAGAAAATTTATCCGTCACTACCCGGATTTGAACCCCGGGACCTTTGAATGAGAGGCAAACACCATAACCTCTAGGCCACGAAAGCCCCCAGCATAATTTCGTATTACTACTTAAAGCATTGTGTGCCAAAAACACACACAAACGTTGATAAGTATTAACCCTTAAAACTCTGAATTCTTTTTTTTCATACCTCCCTAGAATCCTGAATTAAAATTGAGATACTAGAAAAAATTAGGTTGGTTCATCATTTTGTTTACTGTGTCTTTAATTGTTGTTAGATTTTACTGACGTTTGAAAATGTTATTTATATATGAATGCACAGTCTGAACAAAAGGGAAAAGGTTAAAACACTGGTTTTTAGGACCAACTCTATGAGTTAAGTCTTGTGTGTGATCCCCGACTCCACTTCAGTCAAAGTATCATTAGAACCAGCCGTAGATCTAGCCTCTGGTAGCTTTAGTGGTGATCCCCTGCCAATTCCACTATCGTCAAAATCATCACCGATGTTATGCGGAATATTGCAATCGTCTTCAACGGTCATATTTATCTATATATCCGACTGGGAGATCATTATTGGGGTCTGGTTAGGATAAAAAAATGTCAAAAATTTTGCGGCCTGAAGGGCCTGCCAGCGAAAAGTGAGTAATTTTTCTTAAAAACTCGAAAAATTTCCAAACTTTCAGTGTAGAACTGCTCTCATGACATTATCGGTACTTTCTGCTCGCGACAGAGTCATCTGGAGTAATATCCCCTGTTTCTAGCACTGGGAATTAAATGAAAAGTCGACCAGCGGTATAGGAAAATACGACGTCAGCGGTTACCAGCGGTATAGGGTTTTAAGGGTTAATCTATCTAAGGATTAATGATGGCTACGATTCATGCTCAATATCCATCTGCTGAAGATGGTTGAAAAAAACCCCAATGTACGTAAGTAAAAAAAAAAAGAAAGGCTGGTGGTGGCTTTCGAAACTGTTTACAATAATATAGTCAAACCTGCACTAACAACCACCTGTTTAAGACAACCACCCGGACGAACGACCACTTCCCACTATGTGGGTTTTCCCCCACCTACATTATTATGACACAGTCAAAGAAGTCCACACACCTAAATAAACCAATTTTCTCTTCAAAAATGGATGGTCATCTGGGACAATTTTGCCCATATTAGCACCAAGAAGTTACAACACCCTCTACTGGTAGTTGTAACCCCCCCCCCCCCCCCCCCCAAATCATTACTTACTTGCTCAGCATGAAGATCATCTCTGTCATGCATGTGCTGATGTTTGCCCAAATCTGTCGTGATCTCACCAACTTCCGTGTAGAACTGGACATCAATGTGCTTCTTCTTGCCAAACAGGATGGCATTCTGTGGAAACACGTCACAGATACGAGGGACGTCCAGAAAATAAGTAGATCTACCGTTCATAAATAATTATAAAAGAAATAATTCTCCCCATCAAAATGATTTATTTTTTAATACCTCATATAGATGACTATATGACTACTTTTCCACGTAGTCACCAGAACTGTTGAGTCATTTGTCGTAGCGTGGGATGAGCTTCTGAATGTCCTCATCGTAGAAAGCTGCCGCCTGCGATGTCAGCCAATGTCGAGTCTCTCTCCTGTGAGATCAGTGTCTGAGTCCCTGCCAGTCGAAAAACTTTTTCAAATGCAGAAACAGACGAAAGTCATTCAGAGCCAGGTCTGGGCAATACCATGGGTGCTTCAACTGTTCCCATCCGAAGGAGGCGATCAGGTTTTGGGTCTGTGCACACTTGTGAGAAGTTGCATTGTCTTGAAGCAGAACAAGGCCGTCACTAAGTATTCCGCGTCTTTTGTTTTGAATAGCTCTACGCAGTTTTTTAAGTGTATTGCAGTATACACCAGAGTTAATTATCATCTCGATTTCCCAAAAATACTTTTTAAAAAAAACTCCTTGCCTGTCCCAAAACACTGTACACGTGACTTTTTTTTCCTGACGAGGCCTCTTCGAACTTTTTTGGCTGGGACAAATCCGTATGCTTCCACTACATCGACTGCTGCTTTGACTAGGGCGTGGAGTGGTGCAACAAGGTTTCATCCCCTGTCACAATGTGAGTAAGAAAGTCATCTTCTTAGTCATTGTAACGTGTCAGGAATGCCAATGCGCTGGCAACCCGTTGATCCTTATATGTGCTTGTGTCAGCTGCTTGGGTATCCAGCGTGAGCACACCTTTCGATAACCCAAATGGTCAGTGATGATTTCATGCAGAAGCGACCTTGAAATCTCAGGAAAGTTTGAAGAGAGTGAGGAAAGGGTAAAACGCCTGTCTTCCTTTACCTTTATGTCAGCTTTGATAAATCAAATCATCACTGACCAAAGATGGACGCCCACTCCTGGTTTCACCATGCACATTAAATTTCTCGTCCCTCTTCGAACATGCGAACCTATTACCACACCATGCTTTCGCCGATTGCATTTTCAACATACTTCAGAAATCTGCCCATGAATGTCGCTAGGCTTCATGTTCTTTGCAGTCAGAAAACGAATAACAGAACGAATTTCACTGTCAGAATAATTCTCAATCTTGGGAGACGTTGAAGCTTCAAAAGGGTGTAAGATGAGACAAAATCTGGCTGTGTAAACTGGCGGGGAAAAAACTGGGGGAGATGTTTTACAAGCGTTGTATATTTTTTATAATGGCAAGATAGAAGCTGAGGGCTCTTTCCGGTTCAGTATTGAACACAACAACTCACTGTGGTGCAAAATCAAGAATATCCTAACCCAGTTCAGAGAGATGTGAAAACGGTACTTACTTTCTGGATGTCCCTCGTAACAGATCTGAACATGTGGGTGATGGGACACCACCAAGATAATATACGACTTTTGGAAGTATTAGAGCAGAGAAATAATCTGAGAAACATGACCGCCACAGTCTGTTTCCGGTCTGGTACTTTATATTGATAAGGAAACGCTGTCAACAGAAACAAACAGCAATGGATGGTGTACCTGTAATATATCTTTTGTGTGCATGTATGTGCATGTAGTTATGTATGTACAATATATGCTATGCACAGTAAACAGAATTTCCCCACACGCATCAATAAAAGTGGGAGCTTTTGTGGTTTATAATTTTAAAAAAATAAAAAATCTGTGGTTTCTTGTTTTTTTTAAATGTCACTGTTTTCACACCCCCCAAAGACAGTTTAGATCATTTCGAGGAAGGCTTCCAACCCCACCTGTCAGAGCCAAACCCAGGCTGAGCAGGATACAACATCCCCGCCAAAAAGCATAAGATACTCCACAAATTCTTCCCACACGTAAATCAAGTTCTCCAGTCTCCCGCGTGCGACACCTACACCAGATTCCATCAGAGCTTCATACCATTCAAGTTCATATGGGAACCCTACCTTCAGGTTGAAGTGCAATAAAATGATCATCTCGCCGTCGCAGGGCTGGAAAAAAGCGTGTTTGATGTTGTTGTACAGGATGTCCACCTTGTCCCCCCGCACTGACGTGAAGCGGAAACCTGGTCAAACCATTGAAAAACCAAAGACATTAGAGTTACAGTCATCGCACCCACGTGGAGGAGCGGAAACCTGAACAAACCTGGGAAAAACAGAAACATGAGAGTTACAGTCATTGCACTGACGTGAAGCAGAAATCTTGACAAGGGAGGAAACAACAGACAGAAAGACATTTGAGTTACAGTCATCTCATCGATGTGAAGTGGAGACCTGGACAAACCGGGAAAAACAAAGAAAGACGTTAAAGTTAGGAAAAACAAACAAAAAGACACAAAGAGTTCTAGACGAAACTGCTCAAACAGCCACCTGTACAAATAGTTACTTTTAATTTCCTCTCTTGAGTAATTTTTACATTACAATGACACCACAAATCTCTTTTTCTACCATAAAAAACAACAAACAAACAACAACCAAAAATTATGCAGCCATAGACAAGGTTTAGATCATTTAGAAGGTGGGTTTCTGACCCTGCCTGTCAGGGCCAACCCGATAGGAGAGGGATACAACATCCTAGCAGAAAGGGTAAGATAATAAAAATTTCCCCCTATCTGGGAATCAACCTTGGGTCTCCTGTTTGAGATAGTGAAGCGCCTTATAACTGCTACACAACGGACATTGTTTCACTATTTAGGGACAAACAATCAAGGTACAACACAAACATCAACCACAGGGTTCCTACTCACCGTTTGTGTGGGCCTCCAACGTTCCCGAGATTCTCTTGGAGACAATGTTGGGCCTGATGTACAGGTCTTTGAGCTTTGGGTTTCCCCTGTTTGGGTTGATGATCAGAGTGTCTTGCTTCACAATGCCCTGAAACACACAACCACAAAGTGTGCCTGAGATATTAGTTCATTCTCACTTACAAAAAGACAAGTTTTTTAAGTTTTAGTAAGTGTTTTACAGCACTTGCAACACAATAAGGTCATAAAGGTGCGGAAGATTAGAGGTTTTACAAGAGAGTAACAAACACAATAAAGAAGGACGGGAGGTTTATAAAGATGATAGATGTTTGATAGGAAAGAAGAAGCAGACTACACCACAGCACCCGCCAACCACCCACAAAGACAAGTTTAGTTTTAGTAAGAGTTGTCTCAGTTCCAAAAAGACAATTCAGTTTCTCACTTACACGAGATAGTTCAGTATTATTATGTCTTACTACACTTGCAACACAAAACAGATCACACATGTGCTGAAGATTGGAGGTGTCGCAAGAGCGTAACATTAAAACCAAAGGAGCAGAGTTAACAACAACAAAGATTTCTGATAGGAAAGAAGGAGCAAATAACACCAGAGCACCCGCCAACCACCCAGTTATAAGTGTGGAACAAGAAAAATGTACAAAGACGCATCAGTCAGAGTTATTCCCATGGCAGGTTGTTTTATTGGGTCTGGAGTTGCGTGTTAGGGTGAGGTGTTTTGACTAAATATATAAAGAACAAAAGGATATCTTCTCATTTTGGCAAAATCTTTGATGTCCTTGAATGTGAGGTTAAGTGGATCAAGACTTTCAATATTCCAAAAAATCAAGGGCCACATACTTTACTTTAGTCAGCCTCTGTTACCATACGGTGTTGCAAGGAGAAGCAAACGTCTTTCTTTTATTTGTTGTACCTCCTGATGTATGGTTATACTATATCAGTACAATGTTCCTCTGAAAGCCACTCTATCCATCCATTTCTAGGCCAGCCTCTTCCTTTCCATTTGATCTAAGGTTGTATGCCATCCCAACTTTACTGTCTGATGGTCTAAGCATTTTATTCATTTTTATCCAAATATTCCAAGCAAGGAGCAAGCCAACTTGTTCTCTGACCTTTTCATTTCTCATCCCACCTCTTCTTGTTATGCTCAGTTTTTCTTGACATCTCATTTCATAGGCATTTATTTTAATTTGGAGACTCATTTATCACTCCGGGACTATTTTCACAAACTGAAGACAAAACTGACATCAGGAAAACCCACAGAATACCCCAAACCTACAAAACAAAAGAAAAAAGTAATCACCTCTTTCTCCCTCTCTTCTGCTTCTCTTGTGCGGAACCTCTTTTGTACTTCCTTGATCAATCTAAAGGCTGTGTTCAAGTTGGACGATGGAGCTGAAATCTCTCCTGGCTCTTTTGTGTTGGAGCTGCGGTATGTGCTGAGAAAACATACACAAAAAGTTGCAATTGCATTTATATAGCACATATCCACACTCTACAGCATGCTCTACGCACTTTACAACCATTATTACCCCAACAGACCCTTGAACACACAGTATCATTCTCATCCTGGGTAGCATACAGAGCAAGCAACCAAGTGCAAAACACGAAAACACAGACAAGATCTTTCGCTGTTTATGTCACTGTGACTAGCACAAAAGAATACACAAAATATACACAAACACTATGGGCCAAACATTGTAAACAGAGTAACCAAAATGCTCCACAGCAAAACTGCCCCATTGGGCTGTTCCACACAAGAATTGCTGTGAGTTTTCCCAATTTTCACGAAGCTGGCTATTCAAGTGTCTAAAACTGCAAGAATACCATCTATTACATGTTTATAGCTTATTGGCAGTTTTCAAATCTTAAAGAACACAACAAAAACAGCTCTTTCCTCTTCATTTTGAACTACATATTTTTCACATACACACAAAATGAGTGGGTAATTTTAATCTGGTAATTCCATATCTTGAGCAAAACATAATAAAGAAAGCCATATTTGCTGGGGGGGGGGGGGGGGGGGGAAGCAATAGAAGAAATGAGTTGGCTTTGAACCCTAATGTTAGCAAGTGCTGATTCAATAACTGTTTCTATTGTAAAAAGGTGAACCTTAATTTGACTATTCCTGGGTTAAAATTATTTCAAAGTTGAGGATCTGGCATAACGTGTGTGTGTGTTTCTGTGTGTATGGGTGAGCACGTGCGGACAAAGTTCGATTCTCTGAAAACAGGAAATACATGTTGGAATCACAATGACTCACATCTCCTTTAAGAATGTCATATCAGGGTTGGGGAAAGAACTTCCTTCTGTGCGGGCCAGAGTTGATCCCGGATGAAAGAAGTTGATTCTCAGGTATGTGTATTCTCCTTCGATAGACTGACTGATGTTCTGAAAGAGCCACAAAACCATTGCTTAATCATTACAAAAATTAGGCACTTTAGGGTGTGTGTGTGTATTATATCACCACCCTTATAATAACCCACAAAATAACAAGTTCAGGACACACAAACCAAAAAAATTAGATAATGATGGTATAACTGCAGAATTTCCAATAGTAACTGAGTTTGGTTCTTTGATTATCTTCCACAAATAGCAATGTGAGGTACATCCACTTAAAAACCCCCCACCAAAACAATTGTTAACAGATGTATTACAGGCAAACATTATAAAACTAGCTACGGCAAAATACCGGAAATACCGGAAAAAAGGCATCCCCATCAACTGTGCCCCTCGAAAACATTTTACAAAAGAGTCACAAATTGGTAAAATATGCATACCTTGATGGTGGAGATGTGAAATGGCGTAGCAGAACCAAAAATGGGAAGGACAATGGTTTCATACTTTTTATCTGAAATGAAAAAATAAGCCAAAGTCAAATAAATTGAGAGTCAGCATGCACTATAAATAGTATAAAAGCATTGCGGACTAGCTTTTTGAGTCTGCTCTTATTCAAACTAGAATTCTTTCTTTTCTGAGGGGGTGGGGAGGTTAAGTAAGATTTGCCTGCAGAAAAGCCAACAGCATTGTTAAATATAATTAATATGATTATTTTATAATTTTTTATTCACAGCAGAGAACTTTTTTCATTTAACATTAGACTAAAATATGCTTACTATTGTCAAAAAGACCTAGAATCAGAAACATCACTGGTCAATTTCAGAAAACTGGGTAACGCCCTGGAATCAGGAAATTTTGACCCCCCAAAGATCGGAGATGATATTCAAATCATAAAGAGCAATCTGCATCATCTTGCAACACAAGATTATATTCCAAAAATAAGTTGGAATTTGTCTTTTTTGGGGGGGGCTAGTGTTTTACGGCGCTCACAACTGCATATGGTTACATGAGCGAAGTATTTGTTCAGGCTGGAGTTCTATTTTTCCAGCTCTAGATTTTTCTCTGCCCATGGACCCCCCACCCATATTTTTTTTAAAAGATAAATGTTATATCTGATACATCTCTTAACACATTCAGCTACCCCAAAAGCTGCAAATAAAAATACAAAATAACTTTGTCAGCATTCTTGATAGCGTGTCTGACCAGCATCTCTCTCCAGGAAGTAAGCGTCATTCCTCTCTTACCTACAAACAGCTTGAGGTCCCTGCATTCTGCCTCATCCGGGAAATGATTTGAACTTTTGTAGGACACATTTGACTTCCGCGCCCTAAAAAGAAATATCAAATGGCAAAACAATTACACTATAAACGATAATATGTTACATTGTAAACACAGCACTCATCCCTACTCAAAAGTAGCACCCAGGGATACCGCTTGGGACAATTTACAAAGGTGCAGTTGCAAAAAAAAAACCCATCAAATAGACATTCCTAATACGGGCATACACAGAAAACTTACAATGAAATGTTTTATCTTGTGTGAATGAAGTATTACGCTCAGTGATCATGTGATCAATGCAAAGCGCTCAGAGTTAATATTCCTATGGAACAGAGTGCTATATAAATGCTATCTTTCATTATTAAAACAAATGCTTAGAATAATAAATGTTCAGGTGAAAAACTGAATTCCTGAGCTTCTATTTGTTTTCCAATTTATGGGAGAATCAAACAGACTTTAAGCAGCCAGCATTTCCAAGGCAAACAAAACTCTGGTCATTGAGAAATTTAGTCACTCCTTCCTATTCAGTATCTAAGAACAAAAAGAAAAAAAAACTGTCCATAACTTCAGATAGTGGACTGCAAGTGTCTGCCTCCTCATCGCACCCAACAACTTCTTATACAGAAATGTACATTACTTTTCAGGTTCCGTTACCTTGCGTTACCTTGCGATGCAAAGAGTAGAAACAAATGTATATCTCATTCGTCGTTGCATCAGCTGTTGCATGGTTATATCGTTTTTGTCTTATGTTTTCTAACCCCCCCC